AAATATGTAATTTAAGTAGCTCATGTTTAAGTCTGTGGAGTAGGCTACTTATGGTGAGTTTTGGTATATTTATGAGATGCGCTCCAATTCATGCCCTGGTGCCTATTATGTGTCGTGAATATCTATAATTGTCTGCTTTTACTTCTTATTTATTAAATCCAGGCAATTGGTTGATGAAACATTGATTAAAATCAAGACAAAATTAATATAAAACGAAATTCACTTTAAAGAAGGCTTTGCCCTTTTCTGTTTGAGGTCTGTGAAAGTTTTAATGCAGTCTTAAGTGTCACTTCAGAGCGCTCGCATCAGTAAAGGAGAACTGTCACGTCTGTAACTTCGTTTTTTCCTCATAAATACCAGGAACAGTTTATTTATTTTTCATTTTCTTAAAGATTTATACATCCATAGATTTAGCTATTTATACGTAAATGTAATACAAATGATTTGTTATGATTGCAACTTGCAGGGTATTTGTTAGTTTTTCAATATGTTTTCCAGCTAAATAAGTGTTTTATTCTCATTCTGACAAAATACATGTACATATTAAACACATGGTCACTTTAATCATTATTTATTTATTTATTGGAAAAAACTTTTTTAAAGCTTCAATCAGTGGTCATATAAATAAATTATTTGGTGTTTTGTTTTTTTACAACTCTGTCTATGGTACCAGTCACCTTTTGAAAGTAACTTTACACTTCAAATAAAGATTGGATCGATTATATTGTTACGCCACCAGATGGCGACAAATGACTTAAAAAAACATTTCTCATTGAATCGTTCATTCAAGAGATGTCAAAAATGAAACGAGTGTTTTTGATTGAGGAATTGAATCATTCAAACCCAAGTTTTTTTTAATATATAATTCAGATTAATTCAACATTTTTAATAGACTTCAGCAATTAACATAATTTATATTATTTTGTTAAGTTGTTTGTGCAGAATCGTGATCTCTATTTTTATTCTCAAATTATCCAGAATTGTGCAGCTCTAATACATAGGCCTAGCTTGTGTATGTATCATTTAGTTCTATTTAAAGTAATGTATAGAAGGTCCCGAAAGTGACTCAAGCCCAGGGCCCCCCCCACCCTAAGTCCTGCCCTGCTTGTGACATATATAAACGCGCACATCAACCCGATCACTTTATTTATCATTCATGTAAACACCTTGTTCGGATTCATCAACCGTATTGATTTCATTCCGATTGTGTCCATATAAACGTAGACTGAGGACTTTCCATTGGCGTAATGTTTTTTCTGTCCCCTAAACATAACCCCGACATAATTTTTTGTTTTGCATTTTTTATTTTTCATAATTAGTAGCCCATGTCTATTGTCGTGATCTAGCATCTTCAGCTCAGAATATGGAGACAGAACAGGATCATGACATGAAAGGATATTCATCTGAATCTCTTTATTTTCAGCTTTACAGCTTGTCAAATTGCAAACAAGTCCACAAGTATTTCCTTCAGCTTTTATTTAGATCAGCACTTCTCAGATCAGTGTTCATCAAACTGGAACTGAGACAGTAATATGAATTTTCTGTGTGAGAAGACTGTAAATCATGTCCATCTGAATGATATTTCTGTAGTAGTTTCAGGCTGTGATTCACATTCACACTCTTGATCTGATGACAACATTTCTGTGTTTCTCTGTTTCTATCTGCTGCTGTCACTAATGAAGCGAGGAGGATATCAGTGGAAGAGGGAAAGAATCTGATCATAAACCCTGAAACTGAAATACAGAAAGATGATCAGATACAGTGGAGGTTTGGATATCAAGACATTCTCATTGCTGAAATCAGAGGAGGGACTCTAAAAACACATGATGATGATGCTGATGATGGGAGATTCAGAAGCAGACTGAAGCTGGATGAGAAGACTGGATCTCTGATCATCACAGACATGAGAACTGAACACACTGGAAATTATAAACTACAGATCATCAGCAGCAGAGGAAACACAAACAAGAGATTTGTTGTTTATGTCTCTGGTAAGTAGTTCTTTCGATTTATTTTTCAAATATAGATGAGGTCTTTGTGAAAGGAGATGATCCACTTTGTGTTTTTTGCTCGATCAATGAAAATAGTTCCAATCGAAGCTAAAGCATGAAAAAATATATTAAATAATGTATTTGCAGAGAATATTTTATTCAGGTTAAAACTTGTTCTTAAATATTAAAGTTATTAGAGTTACATGTTTTTTTTTGCATGTCACTGACAGTTTATACTTTTGACTCGTATACTGTACACACACACACACACACGCACACACACACACACACACACACACACACACGGTGGTGGCGCTATCATTATCTGCGTTTACATGGACCTTATAATTGGATTGACGGCTCAATCGGACTAAAAAACGTTCATGTAAACACCTTAATCGATCCGATTGAGCTCGATCCGACTGGAATTTCAATCGGATTGAAAGGGGAGTTTACTCCTATTGTAATCCGATCGAGAGAACAGGTAAACACTTGATCGGATTGAAAACCGAAACTAAAAGGACTGCGCATGTGCAATGACGTTGCAATGGCGTAATGACGAATGACGCAGGGAACGAGCTGTTCTTCCTGTTGAATAAAGTGTCATATAAATTTGTGTTCCTTTCTTTAAAAAAAAAATCTCATTTCACTCCATGTCTGTGAAGTGAAGCAGGACAACGTCCCACCAGTGCTTGTTTTAGATTCTCATCCACACACGACTTTTGGGCGCGGGGTTTTACTGCGTGATAAACGGCAAAACGGTTCATGCTCATCGTCTCCAAATCATGACCAGAGACGGATAAATAATAAGTCTGTTGTTTAAAACAAATACAGAACCATTAGAGGAGAATAGTTACGCGCGAACAGTGGCATATTCGTGCAGTGTGCACATGTCAAAAAATCTATTCTGATTTGAATCTTGTGACAAGGCCGAACAAACTTACCATTGGACTTGACTGGGCTCAAGCGCATGGGCCCCGCCCAATAGGGGCCCCGCCCATTTACTTTTGATTATTTTTCAATTATATGTCAGTCATGTAATTTTTCATTTAAAGTTTGTTGATTGGTCTAGCATTGTTACCTGGCCCTGCCCTGCAATGAAATATGTAATTTAAGTAGCTCATGTTTAAGTCTGTGGAGTAGGCTACTTATGGTGAGTTTTGGTATATTTATGAGATGCGCTCCAATTCATGCGCCGGTGCCTATTACGTGTCGTGAATATCTATAATTGTCTGCTTTTACTTCTTATTTATTAAATCCAGGCAATTGGTTGATGAAACATTGATTAAAATCAAGACAAAATTAATATAAAACGAAATTCACTTTAAAGAAGGCTTTGCCCTTTTCTGTTTGAGGTCTGTGAAAGTTTTAATGCAGTCTTAAGTGTCACTTCAGAGCGCTCGCATCAGTAAAGGAGAACTGTCACGTCTGTAACTTCGTTTTTTCCTCATAAATACCAGGAACAGTTTATTTATTTTTCATTTTCTTAAAGATTTATACATCCATAGATTTAGCTATTTATACGTAAATGTAATACAAATGATTTGTTATGATTGCAACTTGCAGGGTATTTGTTAGTTTTTCAATATGTTTTCCAGCTAAATAAGTGTTTTATTCTCATTCTGACAAAATACATGTACATATTAAACACATGGTCACTTTAATCATTATTTATTTATTTATTGGAAAAAACTTTTTTAAAGCTTCAATCAGTGGTCATATAAATAAATTATTTGGTGTTTTGTTTTTTTACAACTCTGTCTATGGTACCAGTCACCTTTTGAAAGTAACTTTACACTTCAAATAAAGATTGGATCGATTATATTGTTACGCCACCAGATGGCGACAAATGACTTAAAAAAACATTTCTCATTGAATCGTTCATTCAAGAGATGTCAAAAATGAAACGAGTGTTTTTGATTGAGGAATTGAATCATTCAAACCCAAGTTTTTTTTAATATATAATTCAGATTAATTCAACATTTTTAATAGACTTCAGCAATTAACATAATTTATATTATTTTGTTAAGTTGTTTGTGCAGAATCGTGATCTCTATTTTTATTCTCAAATTATCCAGAATTGTGCAGCTCTAATACATAGGCCTAGCTTGTGTATGTATCATTTAGTTCTATTTAAAGTAATGTATAGAAGATCCCGAAAGTGACTCAAGCCCAGGGCCCCCCCCACCCTAAGTCCTGCCCTGCTTGTGACATATATAAACGCGCACATCAACCCGATCACTTTATTTATCATTCATGTAAACACCTTGTTCGGATTCATCAACCGTATTGATTTCATTCCGATTGTGTCCATATAAACGTAGACTGAGGACTTTCCATTGGCGTAATGTTTTTTCTGTCCCCTAAACATAACCCTCACATAATTTTTTGTTTTGCATTTTTTATTTTTTATTTTTCATAATTAGTAGCCCATGTCTATTGTTGTGATCTAGCATCTTCAGCTCTGAATATGGAGACAGACCAGAATCATGACATGAAAGAATATTCATCTGAATCTCTTTATTTTCAGCTTTACAGCTTGTCAAATTGCAAACAAGTCCACAAGTATTTCCTTCAGCTTTTATTTAGATCAGCACTTCTCAGATCAGTGTTCATCAAACTGGAACTGAGACAGTAATATGAATTTTCTGTGTGAGAAGACTGTAAATCATGTCCATCTGAATGATATTTCTGTAGTAGTTTCAGGCTGTGATTCACATTCACACTCTTGATCTGATGACAACATTTCTGTGTTTCTCTGTTTCTATCTGCTGCTGTCACTAATGAAGCGAGGAGGATATCAGTGGAAGAGGGAAAGAATCTGATCATAAACCCTGAAACTGAAATACAGAAAGATGATCTGATACTGTGGAGGTTTAGAGACATTCTCATCGCTGAAATCAGAGGAGGGACTCTAAAAACACATGATGATGCTGCTGGTGGGAGATTCAGAGACAGACTGAAGCTGGATGAGAAGACTGGATCTCTGATCATCACAGACATCACAACTAAACACACTGGAGATTATAAACTACAGATCATCAGCAGCAGAGAAATCACAAGCAAGAGATTTGTTGTTTCTGTCTTTGGTAAGTAGTTCTTTCGATTTATTTTTCAAATATAGATGAGGTCTTTGTGAAAGGAGATGATCCACTTTGTGTTTTTTGCTCCATCAATGAAAATAGTTCCAATCGAAGCTAAAGCATGAAAAAATATATTAAATAATGTATTTGCAGAGAATATTTTATTCAGGTTAAAACTTGTTCTTAAATATTAAAGTTATTAGAGTTACATGTTTTTATTTGCATGTCACTGACCGTTTATACTTTTGACTCGTATACTGTACACACACACACACACACACACACACACGCACACACGCACACACACACACACACACACACGCACACACGCACACACACACACACACACACACACACACACACACACGGTGGTGGCACTATCATTATGAGGACTTTCCATTGGCGTAATTTTTTTTTTTGTCCCCTAAACATAACCCTCACATACTTTTTTTTGCATTTTTAATTTTTCATAATTAGTAGCCCATGTCTATTGTTGTGATCTAGCATCTTCAGCTCAGAATATGGAGACAGAACAGGATCATGACATGAAAGGATATTCATCTGAATCTCTTTATTTTCAGCTTTACAGCTTGTCAAATTGCAAACAAGTCCACAAGTATTTCCTTCAGATTTTATTTAGATCAGCACTTCTCAGATCAGTGTTCATCAAACTGGAACTGAGACAGTAATATGAATTTTCTGTGTGAGAAGACTGTAAATCATGTCCATCTGAATGATATTTCTGTAGTAGTTTCAGGCTGTGATTCACATTCACACTCTTGATCTGATGGCAACATTTCTGTGTTTCTCTGTTTCTATCTGCTGCTGTCACTAATGAAGAGAACATATCAGTGGAAGAGGGAAAGAATCTGATCATAAACCCTGAAACTGAAATACAGGAAGATGATCTGATACAGTGGAGGTTTGGAGACATTCTCATCGCTGAAATCAGAGGAGGGACTCTAAAAACACATGATGATGCTGATGATGGGAGATTCAGAGGCAGACTGAAGCTGGATGAGAAGACTGGATCTCTGACCATCACAGACATCACAACTGAACACACTGGAAATTATAAACTACAGATCATCAGCAGCAGAGGAAACACAAACAAGAGATTTGTTGTTTATGTCTCTGGTAAGTAGTTTTTTCGATTTATTTTTCAAATATAGATGAGGTCTTTGTGAAAGGAGATGATCCACTTTGTGTTTTTTGCTCCATCAATGAAAATAGTTCCAATCGAAGCTAAAGCATGAAAAAATATATTAAATGATGTATTTGCAGAGAATATTTTATTCAGGTTAAAACTTGTTCTTAAATATTAAAGTTATTAGAGTTATATGTTTTTATTTGCATGTCACTGACAGTTTATACTTTTGACTCATATACTGCACACACACACACACACACACACACATAAATACACACACACACACACACACACAAAAACACACGGTGGTGGCACAATCATTATGAGGACTTTCCATTGGCTTAATGTTTTTTCTGTCCCCTAAACATAACCCTCACATCATTTTTTTTTTGCATGTTTTTAATTTTTCATAATTAGTAGCCCATGTCTATTGTCGTGATCTAGCATCTTCAGCTCAGAATATGGAGACAGACCAGGATCATGACATGAAAGTATATTCATCTGAATCTCTTTATTTTATACAGCTTTACAGCTTGTCAAATTTAGCTAAAACATTTTGTTGCTGACCTGCATATGCAAGTATTTCCTTCAGCTTTTATATAGATCAGCACTTCTCAGATCAGTGTTCATCAAACTGGAACTGAGACAGTAATATGAATTTTCTGTGTGAGAAGACTGTAAATCATGTCCATCTGAATGATATTTCTGTAGTAGTCATCAGTAGACATCAAGAGAAAGGCAGAAAGAGAAAGAAAAAAATATCCAAAAAGTCATCTTCACTCTTATATACGGAATATACGGAATATTGAGCTTACTATGACCACTGACGACTGCATGCCTGTTGCCATCTCTGCAAACGCTGATGAGACAGCCAACCTCAGGTCGGAGCTTCGCTCAATAGAGGTTCTACTGGATGATGTTCTACGGCGACAGTCTCTACTTCTTTCACGGGTGGATTCATTACATCTAGTTTCTAAACCTGGCGCTACGGATGATGCCGCTAAGGTCCCCGCCAGTGTCGTTACTGTGACAGATCCACTGAACACCTGGACCATAGTCGGGCCGAAGGACGGCCGACGGATTTCTCTTCCCCGTTTCTCTCCGGATGATGACGAGAGCCTTTTTGTTGAGTTATGTTTCAGCTTGCGTTCCATTCAAAAGAAAAGAGTGGACGATAGAGATGAGTTACCCGTTCTTGGCATATTTATTTCAGCTATTGACACATCAGTCTCACGGTCGAACAGCACAGAGAGTAATAAAGATTCTCTCAGTAATATGATCCTCTTAACTACGGTAAATCAACTTGGACAAACATAATAATAATACAAACGCATCCTCCACAGCCTATACTTTAGTGCCCTCTTGTGGCATAAACATATGCACAACACTGAACAGTATAGCATTGCATTATATTACACACACAGCATACAACTGAGGACATAATGAACATACTTTTACACCCCCACTTGTACTCAGGTTGCTATACACTAAAGGAAAACAAAAAAAAAAAAAAAACAGAATGAATGTGGACATTTGTCATACACATATCAATCTCCAAAAAGAGCACCTGCAAACCTCTTAAGTTTCAACTTATTCACAGGTTTGGTCATTAAATCGGCAATCATGTCATCAGTAGAACAATACATCAAAATCACTCTTCCCTCACTTACAGCAGATCTAATAAAGTGGTACTTTATGTCGATATGTTTACATCTCCGTCTGTTTACAGGGTTTTTGGCGAGAGCGATTGTTCCCTGATTGTCCTCATGTATTATAGTTTGTTTGTACTTGTAGTCATCTATACCTCCCAGTAACTGCTCTAGGTATAGACACTCCTGTAAGGTTGAAGCCAGCGCCATATATTCCGCCTCACATGTCGACAACGCAACAGTAGGCTGCTTCCTAGTCTTCCACGAGACCAGGGAGCTGTTCTTACTGAGGCTCACACAGTATCCCGTTGTACTGCGTCTGTCACTGGTATCAGCCGCCCAATCGGCATCACTGTAGGCCTGTATGCCTAGCTTTTCACTGTCGTTTCTCCTAAAACTTAACCCTTTCTCTGCTGTGCCTTTGAGATAACGAAGTACGTGCTTCACAGTGACCCACTGCTCCTCCGTAGGCTCAGCAAGATACTGCGATAACCTGCTCACCACAAAGCTCAAATCTGGTCTGGTGCAAGTAGGCAGGTATATAAGACTTCCCACAGCCTCTCTGTACACCCTGACATCTTCCATTTTTACTGCATCCTCAGTATACTCTAACTTTTGCTCACAGGGTGTTTCTCTGGTCCTACAGTCTTGCATATTAAAACGCTGTAGTATCTTGTTAGTGTACCTTTCTTGTGACATTTTTACACATCCATCTGACTGACTGAAATCGATACCCAGAAAATGCTTAAGTTGGCCCAGACCTTTCATTTTAAACTTTTCTGCAAGCATCTCTTTCACCTTTTTCAATCTTTCTTGATTTCTTGTTGCAATGATCAGGTCATCGACCCATACGATTATGATCACCTTTCCTTCTTTTGACTCTTTGGCATAGACACAGTGATCGGCTTGATTTTGTGCAAACCCGTCCTCAGTTAGACAATCGTGCAAAACTCTATTCCAATTTCGCCCAGATTGCTTTAGACCGTAAAGTGATTTCTCCAGCTTATAGACTATACCCTCTTTCTCTTGAAAACCCTCTGGTGGATTGATGTAGATCTCACAGTCTATGGGTGCGTGCAAGTACGCTGTTTTCACGTCCATTTGGTGTAGGAGCAAATTCTCCTGCGCTGCTTTCTGTAACACCACCCTTACACTTGTCAAATCTGCCGTGGGTGAAAAAGTCTCCCCATAGTCTATTCCCATTCTCTGGCTGTAGCCTTTAGCCACAAAACGTGCTTTGAATTTGTCTTTTCCGTCTACATCAGCCTTGATAGAGTAGACCCACCTACCCCCCACTGTTTTCTTGCCTACTGGCAGTGTTGTCGGAGTAAAGGTTTTGTTCTCATTTAAGGACTGAATTTCTTCTTCCATAGCTTTTCTCCATTCTTTTGAGTTATCTGACTCCATTGCTCCCTCAAAAGTCTGTGGAATGCCACACACCGCTCTGCAGCAGTAGTCTACCGTGATATGAACCTCATCACTATCACTTCCTTCAGTTACGTAGTCATCTAAGTAGCTCGGTGTTTTTCTTTCTCTAGTCGGATACCTCTGACTCTTAGGTTCACCACATGTCACACTCGGTTGTGCTTGATCATGCTCACTAAACCTCGTTACTGCACTTGGACCGTCACTATGTACACTTCTACTTCGCACACTTGGCTCTGAAGCATTTTCTGTACGCTCGCTCTCTGTGGTCTCACTAGTCCTGGGTCGCACACTGTCAGAGTCATCACTTATATCTGGCTCACCTGTTTGTGTCTGTTTTTCCACAGCTGTATTGCTCACAAACTTCACTAGCCTGTGTTTCTGTACTTTGTTTGTGTCTGGATGATAAACCAAATACGCCGGACTGTTTTTGTCGTAACCTACAAAACGTCCCTGGTCACATCTGGAATCAAGTTTTCCCTTGTCCTGTTTGTATGTGTAGCAGGTAGACCCAAACTTGTGCATTTTAGATACATTAGGCTTCTTGCCAGTCAGCAACTCATAAGGAGTCTGCCCTGTACGCCTGTTAAAACACCTGTTGCGTACTATTGCTGCTGTTTGTACTGCGTAGTTCCATAGCTGCTTTGGTAATGCACTTTCAAGTATCATGCATCTACCCATCTCAAAAAGAGTACGCCAACCTCTCTCGGCAGTTCCGTTCTGGTGTGGCGAATACGGAGCTGACGTTTCATGTCTAATTTTGTTTTTCCTTAACAGAGCTTGGAAATCACCACACGTAAACTCTGTTCCATTGTCAGATCTGATGCATCTCACTGTCCCATAAGGGGATACATCTGCTAGGAACTTTTCTGTAGCCTGTACTGTATCACTTTTCTTCTTAAGAAAATATACAAATACTGCACTGGAGTAATCGTCAGTAAATGACTGCACATATTTGTACCCATCTATCGACTCTGTGGCTACTGGACCTGCGAGATCTGTGTGTACCATCTGTAAGGAAGCTTTTGCTCTGATATCAGGATCCCTATTTCTGGTTTGGGCAAATTTTCCCTGAATACACACCTCACACTCTTGCTCAGGTCGGCCTATTTTGCCCTTGATTTGCATACCTTCCACAACATTTTGCAACCTAAGAACATCGTCATAGTTACAGTGCCCTAAAATCTCGTGCCATGTTTGTATGTCGTGACATGCATTACACTTATCATTAGGCTCAGCTTCAGTATGCAAATAATACAGCCTACCATACACGTGAATGTCAAATCTGGTACCGTCTCTGGTTATCAGGGCATCTTTATCTTCTTTAAAGACAACCGTAGCTCCACTTGTGGTGGCTGCCTTCACTGAGAAGATGCTCTGGGGGTACGACGGCACAAACAAAGCGTCTTTCAGCACCGCCTTGCATCGTTGTCCTCTGCTGTCAATGAGGGAAACCTCAGCATTTCCCCTTCTCTGAGCGATCCCACTACATCGGGTGCCGTCTGCCAGCTCAACACTGTGCGTTTCTGGCCTGAATGTGCAGTCAAAACTCTTGAACATGCTTATGTCCGTGATGATATGAGAGGTAGCTCCTGTGTCCACCATCAGACCCCTCTCCTGGATGCTACATATCGGCTGCCGCTGGATACTGGTCCCTCCGTCTCTCATCTTGAACACGTAGTCCTCTGCTTCTTCTGAGGCCTTACTCGCACCATCCTTTTTGTCCTTACGTCTACATGTGGCGTCTTTATGTGTGTCACTTCTGCAGAAACTACACCATGTTTTCTGTCGACATCCTTTCGCTCTGTGGCCTTTGGTGCCACACTTGAAGCACACCATCTCTGAGTCGTCCTTGATCCAGCCACGTGCGTTCGTCTTGGCGGGCCGCCGTCCGGCTTTCCCTTGAGTCTTCA